GCCCCGCCTCTCTATGGCACGGTGGACCGTGCCACGCTCTACCAGCTCCACAACTACTTCCCAAAAGATTCCAGCGGCAGTGGCAGCGGTGGAGGAGGAGCGGGAGGAGGAGGAGGAGGAGCAGTGATAAGCAGCAGTACGCTCCCTTCCCACTCCAAGTCCAACTTGGCAGCAGCGGCAGCTGTAGCCCAGAACGCAGCACCGCTGAATACCTCCACATCCGCTGCTCCGACCACCCAGCCAGCCCCGATATCTACAGCCACCATGGAGCGGGACAGGGGCAACGTGGGAACCCTGGACCGACTGACAGCCAAAAGGGACCGGGATAGCAACTCAGATACACTAAACAGGAAAACGACACCAGTTTAAACTCAGAGAGAGAGAGGAGAGGAGAAATAGAGATGGGATTTAGAGAGGAAGAGTAGGGCTGTAAATGTGTGGGTGGCACGTCAACAATAAGGTTTCTGTCCTTGAGCCTGAGGTATCGAGCTGCCATAAATATTACTAATGTTATAAACAGTCATCAAACATCTGATGCTAAGAGCAAATTCATGACAGCCGCCTTAAAAATTGTCATGACTTTGAAACCCGTTTCGTTAATTGCACAGCAGGGGTACAGTGGAGGATTCGGGAAATGTTTCTTTTCTCTGTTTTTTTTATTCCTGAATTACTCACTAAATCATAGAGATACAAAACTCCCAGATGTGTAATAAAACAGCCTCCCAATGCAGCAGTTAGGCGCCTTGCCGAGGAGGCAGGGGAACTCTTTCGTTATTTATTTCCCTTATCTCAGTTTTGTCAGTTTCTACAAGGACATCTTTTTAAATCCTGAAAGAAACAGTGAAGGAAGCTTTGATGATAATAAACCCCGCTTACAAATCACTAATTTGCACACATCTTAGATCGGATTGGCCTTAAATCTACATTTTCTTTTCACAAAGCAAGACAGAGTCCTTGCTTTTTGTTATTCTAAACTTTGCAGCACTTTTTAACTTAATAATAAATTATAAAGTGGCCAGATGGTACAAGTCACAATTCTTTCTTCCATTTCTGTTTTAAAAGGACGAGAGCGTCACAGACGGGTACATTCTGCCAAGTAACAAGCTGCTCAGTGACAAGTTGACTGCCAATTGAAGGTCAACAGTAGCTCCTTAACCTCTGGACCTGAGAGAGAGCGACCTCAGCCATATCTAACGTAGATCAGAGGAGGCTGCCGCACTGTGAGCCTGATTATTTTTCACTGTGTGTCAAAGGTATTTACAGTGACAGATGGGCATTCACCACAGTTCTAAGGAAAGGAACAGCCATGGACTTAAAGCTTTAGTCTTAACGCCTCCATTACGCCACTGCCAGTTGTCGCAGTAAGATACGGCAATGTGATCGTTTGAGCAAGTAACTTATTTTGGCATCAATTCTTTCTAGTTTTTGTTTAAATAGAAAGAATTGCGTTTCCCAAAGTGTTGCCCGCAATTCTTAAACCATTGGAAAACTTTATAAAATGTAAATAAAAAACAGGAAGGAGACAAGGCAAATCTCATAAATAGATATTTTACTCACACATATTAAATGTTTAAACTGAGAAAAATCTGTCATTTTGAAATTGATGGGAGCAGCATGTCTCGGAAAAGCTGGGTCATTCCCGTGTTTGTGTGCATCATCCTCTCTTACAATATTAGACGTAGGAATGCTGTTCTACATCTAATGTTGGATCCTAGTGACTCAAGTCCTGGGTTTCCTTTGTTGTGATGTCAGGATGCGTCAGTTTTTTGTTTTGTTTTCCAGTTGGGGAAAAGCCGGTTCAAGACATGAACTCCTCTGTGGTTTAGCATCTGGTTGGAAGCTTATGTTGCTCTAAAATCTGCATTAGTGCCAGTCTGTTTGCACTCCCGTTTTAACTGAACACTAACAGCAACAGATGGTTACTTTCCCCTTCAGTCTGGAGGATGCCATGTCCTTGTTTTCCAAAAAGAAATTTTACATTTCAATTTATCAGTTTTCCACTTGGTCTCTTTTAAATGAGCATTGGCCAAGAGAAGTTGACATGATCTAAGCTTGCTTGACAGAGATTTAACCTGTTTGTGGACG